AAGTCACTGACTGACTACACATACAGAAATTAGAGTTGCCGATTTTCGGGGGTCGATTTCTTCGCTTTTAAACACCTATAGTAATTTCGAATATATCGTCTCGTTCAAAGGTAAATTATTTTCTTAGATAGTGTGCAAAATTTCAAGATTTGTATAAAGCGGTCGCTGAAATATAAGCAATCTAAAATTGTAAAAATCTTACAAAAACCTGTATTTTCTTCTCATTTTTTCCCTCTGGTACTGCACACGCGCTACTGTATCTAGAAAGCTCTTCCGCTAGAAAACTTCCGGGTCGATAGGTCTCGGGGGTTTCCATTACAGTTAATTCAGTTATACGGCTGAATTTTGTTTGTTTAGTTATGAAAACGCAACACTTGGGCGATCAGCCTAAGAGGATGCCTTCTGGGAGGTCTTTTTAAAGAAAACTCGGCCCCTATTTAGGCGTTACAGACGTAAAGAAAACCCGATAAATTCCACGTAGCCAGCCCGTCTGAACGAGGCGCGAACCCTCTATCAAACTCTCAGTGTTTAGAGAACGAAGACCGCTTGACTACTGGTGGGCCCGGGCTTAATTTTGTGATTATATGAATAAAATTGTGTGGAAACAAATGAATTTTATTCAAAATGTTATTCAGATTTACAAAAACTCAAAACTATGCTAATTAAAACTTTTTATAACGATTTTACTAAATGACGTTCAGTAACATGATGATAATTTAAAATATGTTTTCAGGGCCGGATTTGAGGCGATTGATGCGATTTGTGCCAATTGGGTCCCGCGCTTGAAGGGTCCCCGCACGACATCAAAATTTATATATTTAAAAATAGTTTCAAATTACAGAATAGATTAAACAGTTTAGCGATCATGTCGATTGAGAGTCGAGAAGCAAGCTAGTTGGATTTTAATACTATTTTAGAAGATTTTACAGAACAAAAACTTCGGAACATATAAAACATCTCTTTATAGGTTTATCTATATATATATATAAATGAATGTATGTGTGTCTGTCCTTCATGCATTACCACACCGTTTATCCGATTGCCGTGAAACTTTGGGAAGTTGTTTAATATACTCTGGCGAAGGTTTGTGGCATAGTACGATTGCCATAAAACTTTGGAAAGTTTTTTTAATTTTTTAATACACTCCCGCGAAGTATATTTATCCTACGATAGATGGCGCGCATTTACACGAGCATTCGCGCACAGTGTGTTGGATCGATTTCAAATTGTGAAGACCATTTCCCCCCTTCAAAAAATATCTCTATATATGCATTTGTGAACTGTTATTTACGATATTTATAATAATTTTTGTTTAATCACTTTATTTCGACTTTTTTTTGCTAATTATGTATTCGCTCGAACTTCGTTAAAACCTTAACTGTA